TAAATCTGTATCTTTTAATCAACATCATCCTACAATGCCGCGATACCGACATCGAGACACCATGACGAATTAAGTAAATATCGGATAGACTGTCTTGACAAGAAGGCATTCTTGTGAAGAGAGCGATACTGTGACCTAGTTGTAGTTGTAGTAGCTGTGCTTGAAAGGGTGCCACCTGCACGAGTAATGAAATTGTTAGTGTCTTAAATAAAGTAGCTTGAACTAATTGACTCGTTGTTCTTGCACCTGTGATTAACAGGTTTTCTGCCATTCGAGCGATGACGCTGTTATCGGAAGTGGAGTAATATGCGCTTATAAGTATATCCAGTATGTAAGTTATAATTGCTGTACGTGTATTGCAGGGACGAGTGTGTTTCCTGTAAATAGCGGTGTTTTCGGCTCGTGTCGCTGTTCAATGTAAAAAAATGATTAGCAGAATATATTATGTAAGTGTATCACCTCTTCGTGGAGGGATATTCGGCACGTCGCAATTCGGCGGCCTCATCAAAAGATGCATCATTGTGTACGCATTCGATCAAATAATATTCCTCCTCGCTTATTCGTGATCGATTTTACTTATACTCTTTGCGTTTCCTTTCGGCTGCATTTTGTATATCAATATAAAATTTATGTGGTTAAAGCAAATGAAACAAAAAGGAGGTTAATAAACGAGATAAGAGATTAAAGTTAGTAAAAATGAAATATCAAGTTTAGTGTCAAAACAATAATAATGTTCTTAATTTTATAATGTATTTAAATAATAATGTAATTAATTAATGTATGTATTTAATTAATAATAGAATTAATTTTATATAACATAATATCAATTTTTAAAGCATTCTTATTTTGTTACTTGTTTTATTACACATTTCATTTTAAATTTCAACTTATCCTTTTTCCCATTAAAATATTCAATGATAAGATATGTTATTAAAATATTAACTTTTGGGATAAATTTTTTCACCTCCGAGAATCTGGGAATCTTTTCTCTAGAATGTCACGCCTTCCGAGAGTCTTCAAAAATTAATCAAGAGTTAATTCTAATTAACTCTTATCTTAAGCCCTAACGCGTCGTGGTCCAAAAATTTGAATTACAACGCGTTCATTGCAGGAGCCCTATCGTGTATAATTGGTTCGTTACATTATCACGAGCTATTTCGGGCACGCGTACGTGCCCCGTGTAAACTCCGCGTACTAAAACGACTGCGAATTCACTGAGATTAGAATCATTACAATACACGAGGGCGATACAACAGCTAGAATAGAATCTTTATGATCGTCATAAAGCTCGTTCTCTTTCTCATTTCTGCCCGCTTCCCAGCATCACGCCGTCGTTTATTTCGATAAGAAGACGTCGATGCTTTCGTCCGTGATACAAATTGCGAATGCTTCCTCACGCGTCTTTAACCAGTTAATATGGTGGCGATCGTCCAATAACGTTTTCTAGCAAATATCTTCCAGAACTGTCATAATCGTTATAAACTGTCCTAAACAATAATTTCGCTTGCCAGCTCAATGTTTCGAAGAAGTTAAAGAGGGAAGAGAAATCGTATGTCTTTATTTCTATGAAGGACCTTGCTTGAATTATATTAAAATTAGTTAATTTTCACGCCATTAATATAATACTAATTATATGGTAAATTGAGTTCCAATAAAATAAGTTACGTTTTAACATATAATGCAGCTTATAATGTAGTGAATAAAAAATGCAAGGCTCAATAATTGTTGAGCTTGGTGCATCAAAGCTATTTTTATCTTTTGTTCGTCGAATTATAAACTACATTATCTATATGTAAAACTAACTCATTTTATTGGGATTTAATTTACTATAATTAGGTCAATCCCTAATTATACAATATAAAAAATAAATTCTGATGGAAACGAGTTAGTTTTTACATGTAATGTATTATAACTTACATAATGTGGTGAATAAATATCAGGCACAAGGCTCGATAACAGTTTTTGAGCTACGTCAAAGGTGTAAAAAATTAATAAATAGTAAAATCCAGGTCAATCCATTAAACGAGCTATAGTTAGGAATACTAAATAATATTTATTAATCACAAATTATTAAATATTATTCATGACATCTAATTATAACTCGTTCAATGTATTGACCTGGGTTTTACTATTTATTAATCTTGTTGTAAGTTATACGAGCGAAAAGAATTGATATTATTCATATTGTATAAAGGTACAAAATTTATGTTGACAAAGCACTTTTGACACACCATAATCAAAAACTATTACTAAGCTTTGCCCATCACATTATAAGTCACATTATTGTATGCGAAAACCAACTTACTTTTCAATATGATTAGTGCGAGATCCTCAAGACATTCGTTAACTAAAATTATTAAACAAATTGTAACATTTGTCCAAACTGAGTTTCGACATCCTTATTTAAAAAGGTAAAGGTTAAATACATGAAGGGACAGCAGGACTCTGCGAGAGTCGCAAACCACGAAAATGCGCCTTCTTACTGACTCGCAATTGCCTCATTCAAGTCGACCCTCGCGTTGCTCGTAGTTGAATAACACGTAATGCTACGTCGGAATGTACGTGTGCGTACCCGATGGTACTTGACTACGCAAGTGGTTACGACGGAAGTGATTACCGCGAGGGGCAACGGAGACGATGCGTTATCATCCCTACGGTCCACAATACAATGCCGAGAGCGAGACACGGATCCTTTGAGGTCGGCGTTACGGGTTCCACGAAACACGTCACGTCGGGATATACGTATCGAGACTGCGAATACTAATGTCCCTCTAATGCATCGCGCGGTCTGAATTCGTAATAGACGCCAGGCGTCGCGTCGCGTCGCGTCGCCTCAGCGAGATGAAGCACTCGCGCAGAAATTTCCACGGATTCAAGATGTGTGCGTGTGTGCGCGCGCGCGCGCGCGTGTGTGTGTGTGTATGTGCTTTCGTCTCAGCACCGCGATTTATCGCGAATATATGTGTGCACATCGCACGGCGTGCACTGCGAGATCTGCATTCTCGCGCAGTAACAGCGTCGCGCTCTTTGTTTCCAAGATATGCGCATGGATTATTATCTCGGCTCTTCGCTGCTTCCGCGGAATATCTAAAGAGACATCTAAAGCAGACACGCAACAAAAAAAAAAAAAATATATATATATATATATATATAAACGCTTTCTTTCCGCTCGTCCACTTTGGAATCGCGCGCGCAAAATATAAACGTCGCTTTCGGTGAACGATCTCTCCTTGCCGAAAATTGGAACGTCGCCCTTGTATCAACATTTAATCGTGCGCCTTATGTTATCTCACGGACTCCGAAGTTTGAACATTGTGTAACTTGGCACTACGGAGTTTCGAGTTGGATATATTTCTGAAATAACAGATCCGCCGCGATGTTACGCGTTTGGAATTTCTCGTGTTTCATCACGCTTTATGTCTCTCATTATTATCGCGATATTTTCTCTGCGCACGTCGCGCTTAAAGGCGGACAACGCGGAAAGAGAAGGACTCCACCCCTCGTCGGCGAAATCGAGAGACTCGAGAATCAACTCGTCGACTGTGAAAGCTCTCGCGTGTTAGCTATCAAATGTGGCTCGTGGGGGGAGGGGGGAGGAGGAGGGGAAAAAAAAACCGCGAATTCGACAGTGACGAACCGCGTCGTCGCGCGTTTACGGCCACCGTGAATGAGGCTCCGAGAGGAACGAGGTTCGAAACAAAGGCCCGCCTTCAATTCCGCAAAGAGCTCCAGGACGTAAGGAGGTCTAAACGAAGTTATAAATTTCGACTTTTTCTTCGGCGTTCGCGGCTCGTATAAACCGTGGTCACAATGCTTTTACGAGTAGACGGCTTTCCAGGTCAATTGTCGTCGCTTTTTCGCCGCACGTACGTGTCGTTTGCATTAACTGGATTTTGCGGATGATTGAAGACTCACGGAAAGCTCGATGAATTTTAGCGAGGAGATATTTCACGGGCTGAACGTATATCATAAGTATTTTTCAGCTTAATACCACCCGATCGGCACATCTGTAGATCTCTACTAAAAATTCTTTTTTAATCACTCGGTGATTTTATGTTCCGATTTTTAACAATTTACAACGACATCCGAATTTTTATCTTTTCATCGAGAAACATAAAAAATAATAATCGCGGAAAAATGTCGGTCAAATGTAATACGCTTACGCATTTAAAAAAAAAAAAAAGAAAAAATATGCCGCTGTTCGGAATGCAAATGTAGGAGTATTTGCATCGCGAAATATGAAGATAGTATTGCTGTTTTTTCTAAATGCAAATCTGTTTACATCTGCATCGTAAAATTCTAAAATAATATTCCTTATACACGTTGGAATTATGTTTAAATTTATATTTAATACATAAGACGAACTTATTAATTTTGTTATAGATGAGGATTAATACGTATATATATTATTATCTGACCGAATGCGATGTAAATCGCTTTGTTCAAAACATCGGAAAAATAACGATAACTAACTAATGGTTCTCTAAAATCATACATATATATATTAAAATTCTATAATTGTTCTTTGTAGTATTTAACAATTCATTTTGACAAAATGCAGCCGTGTTTCAACGTAAATCGCTTTAATGAATATGGGGAAAATGATGATGATGAGGCCGCGCGATCCCAACATGGTGCGACATTATGACGCACCGTGCACATTATAATTCATTACATTTGCGCTGTCTATTAAACTGACCAACATTATTTTCATTATTCTCAACTTCTAATAATTGAGCGTCAAACGATATTATCGATTAACGCGCTAATTGCCGCGGAATTCATTTTATCGCAAAATGATGATCTCCGTAAATAAATTGATTGAATTAATGTAATATCTCGGATCAAAGAATTAGTAATTTCGGCATTTGTAATTCGACCGCCGGAGCGTTTCAGAAATTCACGTGATAACCGGTGGCGGTCGAATGTAAACGTCAATAGTAACTTGGTACGGATGCTCATGGAGAGATCAAACTGAGGACGTATGATTGTGCACTGACCTCTAGGAAACCCCGCACGGTGTTGTCGACGACCATGAGCGGTCGTGCTATCAGATGAACGACGCCGTTGCGCACCGGAATGTTCCCCTTCACTATTTCCGCCAGCACCACTCCGTCCGTGTGAGTCGCATCGCCTACCAGTGTGTTCGATTGAACGTAGACTGAAAATTGGACTATCAATTAGTCATCGAAATACAATATGTACACAGGGATCTATCACTGGTACTGTTCAACACAGACAAGCCCCTTTTAACTAAACATGAGTGTTTTGTTGTAAGCCTTCTTGCATTAAGCGTATAATAACGCGTAATAATAGCACACTAACTGCAACAATCTCTAATGACAGTATTCTAGATTGGATTGTACGTTATCGCCCTATCAATCGAGTCCAAACTCTATTTCCTGAATGATTGAAACGTAGGGTGGACGAGCGATGATCGTCACCTTTATTTTGCGACTTTGAAAAGCTGATGACGACTTTCAGATTGTCGGAGAATACGAGGGTTGGATACTGCACATTGTCTGGCGTCGGTGCGGTGAAGAGGACCTCGTAGGGTATCACGTGCCCGTCGATCACCAGCCTATCGATCAATCGTGGCCTCGGCACCGGCTGTAACAGAGAAGCGAAGATTACGAAAACTTCATCGGAATGGAATGAATATAAATTATATAATCATTGCGCCGGTCATAATTCGAAAAGGAAAATGACTTAATCCCAATTAGTATTCGCGAATCAAATGGATCGGGACATTTTTTTTCAATTACTTTGTGAAAAATTGTTTATAATTAATGTCGCCGCTGATAATACAAGATGCCTTTGTGCAAAGAGAATTTTGCGCTAGAGTTCGAAGATTTAGATTGTACATGGCCAGTGAAACATTAAATTACATAATCTTATTCCTTGGATTTGATTTTCAAAATAAAAAAAAAATCACTCGATTATGTTAACTTTAAGTAAACTGAAAAAAATTTACTAAATCTTACTAATGCATATTTTTTTAAATAGCATTAAGTAAACATTTATTTACAGCGAATAAATATTTATTTAATAAAACAAATAATAATTGAATTGATAATGGTTTTTGTATCAAACAGATATATGTTTACGTTTAATAAGTATTTACACTTAGAATTGTTCAAGCAAATATTTATTAAAATTTTCTTTCAGTGTTAAGAGAGATATACTAATTTAATTGTTGAACCCGCGAGTAGTACCAATTAAAGAAATTTCGGAGTGAATTCAATTAGGATTAATTAATTGCGTGATTCCCCGTCACGTCGTACATTTTTGCTACCCCCTAAAAAAAAGCATTTAATTGTTAGAGAATGTAATTTATAATTTCCACGCGATGTGAAATAATAAACTTATATCCCTCCAGAAAAGAGAAGGGTAGAAGTTTTTATTTCGCGGACTGCTGACACCCTCACGTCGCACCTTCTTGTTATCCGGATATACTCGTCCTTTCATCTGACGTCTCAGCTTTTCGCACAAAAGCGCGGCCGACCGCGTTGTCACGGCAACTCGATTTCTGTGCGGAAGGACCGACTTCGTGAGTAAAGAACGAAAGGTGACGAAGGCGCAGAAGGGGTCTCGATACCAGCCGTGGAGTTCTCGGCGAGACGACGATCTCGTTGAGAGAAGAACTTTTCGAGATCGAGTCGTACACCGTCGTTACACACTCTTTCGCACCCTTCTCGGCGGCCTCGATTTTCTTTGCTTCCCCGTCAGTTTTTTTTTTCCTTTCTTCCTTTTCTTTCTTCCTCGCTTTATTTATTTTTTTTTTTTTTAGACCCGGAACTCGACGCGTCGTATGTACAGGCGCGAAACTTTCGGTAATTTCTGACGGGATGGCTCGTTTAACTCCGGCTCGTTTTTACGCTCCAAGTTGGATTACGTTGAGCGCGAACTATTGTGTGTAGTACGCGAGCTTGGCGTTGAAAATTGGAGAAAAAGCGGAATTCCGCGCCGAAGTGCTGTGATGCGAGCATAATGAAACACCGGAGGAGTCGCGAGTCGGTGTGGGATGCGCACGGATTCGCACAGCGAAATTCATAATTTTTAATTGTCCTTATTTCCGCCAAGAATTAATGGACGTTTCTTGAAACTACGTGAAAAAGGTAGAATGAAAAATTTTAACGTGTGAAATTTGTACTAAGCGCCTTTAGAAAAGCGCTGTTAAAAAGCTTTTACAGCACTTTGACAATAATAAACGTTTCACGCTGAAAATTAAGTAACGAAAATGTTAACACAATAATTGATAATAATTTAAAAAAAAATAAAATGTCTAAACTTCTTGCCACACAGGAAAAAGTCTAGTCTCCAATTGAACGGAATTCTGAATAGATTCGATCAAACAACAAAATAAAGTAAAGACACTTATGGATAAATCTATATCAAACATTTTAGAGAAAATCAGAAATTCAATTGCGATACCCCCCACATTCTTATAGAGAAATTTAATACTGACCCATTAATCATTTAGTTTGAATGTTACAAGTACAATCAACAAAAGTTTTATACTAGTACGATAAAAGTATTGTTAAAGTGATTAATTGGACTGCACCGAAAAAAATTAAATTTTTAAAAATATTTGTTAAAATAGTTTTAAGTAGGTAAATCTTTACTAAACGTTCATTTAAATTTTGCTAAACATATATTTATTTGATGTAAGAACCATTAATTTTATTTAACTATCTTTTTTTTTTATTTTGAGTACATATTTATTTACTGAAAGTAAACGTATAATTAATACTATTCAAGGAAATTGATATGTATTAAGATTTAGTAAATTTTTTTTTCAGTTTAGTACTTTTTTATGAGGACAAAATTCTAATTTAAATAGTATGATAAAAATGCATTTTATTCGTACTTTTTGTTGGTACAACATATACTTTTCCCACTGTACGAGCCTGTTCTGTAACTTTCACGACATAATTCGATACAAAGTAAATACGTGTGTTTCCAATAAAAATTCATTCAAAAGAAATCTATTCGCACCGACCACGTAACTGAATTTCATTAATCGCCGGTCAGTTCGCGTCGAGAATCACACCAGTATAGTGTGTCTCCGTGTTGCGATCGTTTCGCGATTTTTGCGGCTTTTCCGGATGAATTTCGCGTACAGAGACGAGAGTCAAAGTGGTGAATCTGGCGACGAGCAATCATGTAGGTATATCAATCTGCTCGACCGCGATCAACGCGACTCTCGGTATTCGTAACGAGTTGCCATCGGATCGAGTTGCCGTCGGCTCGACTGTTTTTCCAGGTCGTTGGAGTGATCCAATCTTTTACTCGCATTTCCCAGTCATCTGCGAGTGCCATCCACGAGGAGAATCACTAGGAACATCGCGAAGAGAACAAATTGAAGAATCGTTGTAACGAAACAATTGGGACCAAAGACATATAGAATGAACTGCGCCATTCGTATCAAATATGGTCAATGAAAATGAGAGAGAGGAAACGTGAAGAAGACCACTCCCTCTCATTCTCCCTCCCACTACATCGTTGAATAGATAAGATTGGCCATCTTCACATCCTTTCTCATTATTTTTGTCGACCAGTTTGACATACGGATGGCGCAGTCTATTCTAAGTGTCTTTAATTGGGACAAGTAATTTCGCTTCTCCATAATGTTGCACTGTTCTTTTCCAGCTCTGAACTCTGAAGTAACTTTCGAATTCGCGATGGAATATTCTTGGAGTATTTACACGGCGTTCGCCGAAGACAGGTTGCTTGCTCGCGTTTGTTTGTGCTTGGATTCGATGGTGAGTAGTCTAGTTTTCACCGAGAAGCGTCAATTTATACTTAATCTATACTTAATTATACTTAATTTCACTCCAGCTTCGATCAACAAAATCAATACTTTCAACAGAAACAGGATATTGCACCGAAATGAAATTGAGGATGCATTGAGGACTTCGATGGAACCTAGGCTAGTGATGCGTATTATGATGTGTCTGATGATTATCTATCAATGGCGCATCACATCGCGGAAAATCACGTGAATCTAGCGTTTAGTTGCACGAATCATTTGTGCCAAAGAATCGGACGAACTGGCCGCGAGGATCTTTTTGCGAGGAAAAAGTGTACGAGTACGTTATCGCAACCGTTGGTAATAAACGAATCCATGAGTGACACTAATGTCGGATAATCTTTCCTCGCCGTTGTTGTCGAGAGTGAAGTCAGGATCTTTCAGGTGGGTGGATTAATCCAGATTAATCGACCGGAGTCGTTCGCGAGTATGTTGGATATAAGTATAAGTAAAAAGTGCATCATGGATTACGGAGCAATGCCAATAATATCGACGAATCGGAAGAGACAAAGAGACGATTGTTTTTCGACCGTCGCGTCGATGGCGGTGAATCCTAAGCTTTAATTTCGGTATCAATTTTTTTCAAGATCTTTCATTATAAGTAAGTACAACGCAAAATTGCCTTTATTATAAAAGCTATTCTATGCAATTGTCGATGATGTTGAGTCCTAAGCTTTAATTTCTGCGTTGTTAGTCTCAAGATTTTCGTACCACGCAATCATTGCTTATTATAAAGCTCATTCTATAATTAATTGCGTAAATGTAGAATAATTATAAGTAGTTGTAATTGTAAGAAGTGACGATCATAGTCAAGTATGAGGAGAATATTTAACTGGTTGGGCCACAAGAAATTGACCAATTATAGTTCATTGTGCTTCTCATATTCGAAACGGTCGATTTCTTCCAGCTTAAGGCTTAAAGTTTAAGTTTTACGCCTTAAAATCTCATGTAAATGTTGCTTTATGCAATTGTAGAACGGGCTTAAGGCTGTGGTCTGATTCACGTTTACAACTCATGAGCATCGATTGTTTTTAATAAACAACAAAAATAACAATATTCTAAGAGCATTGCAAGCGTGAATCGAGTCGCAGCCTAAGAATAACGTGAATAAATAGAGAAGATAATAAATAAATAGATAAGTAGATAAAGATAGAGAAGATAAGAGAGAGAGAGAGACAAATAAATTAAAAAAAAAACAGAAAAACTTTAAATTGCTTAGAACTGTCAAGAGAAAATTCGATGCGGGCGATTTTTCGAGATTCCTGTCTAGTCAACACAAGCTAAAAAGTACACAACTAAAAATAACATAATATCAATCAATATTATATAATTTCGCACTCGATAATATGAATGTAATATAATACATAATATTACACAACAGTTACATTGTTAAACGTAAAATTATATTACTGATGTTATTTTGAATTTAGTTAACGTCCGCTGGTATCGTCTCTATGTAAAAATCCAAGAAATTCGTTGTTTCTTGCAATTTTTACAAAACATGTGATTGTGTGCGCATTAATTGCTCTTTTATTTTACATGAATTTTTACGTAACCCACCTGTAAAGGACACTGCCGCGCTCGGTACAGTGTTTCTTCGACGTTAAAATAGATTTGCGCACAATGTCGGAATGTCGCATTTGTAATCCGACGTTTGAAACGTCTAAATGCCACGCGTACGTATATCCGTACGGAATAATTTACATCCGCTGGTAAAACGTCATCCCGTGTAACGCCGCTGCAACACGGTGTTCCGTGCGCGGAACATTCCGAACGAGCGCGTAAATTTTGCGATATCTAGGGCGGTGCTATCGCCATGCGATGTCACGCAATAATCATTTCTTTTCAACGTTGCGAACCTGGAAAGCTCCTTTTAATTCAAAAGGTTTCCTCGTATTTAAAAATTTAAAAGAATAACGCATTAAATAAATTACATTAAATAAATTCTGAATTTTACAAATCCTTTAAATAATGTCTATTCTTACCAATGTACAATAGATAAAACTTTAATCTCGGTTTAACTTACTTTTGATCTTGTTCTAAGAATTAGAAAAAATAAAGAGTAACTTAAGTCGAGAGTAAAGTTTAATTTACATTAGTGGACTGGAAAAAAAGTCTCTCTCTGGTAATAATTATCAAACGTTAAATGAAATAATTTCAATCAAATATTCGGTTAATGTAACTAACAATAATTTTACACCGAGCAAAATTTTTGATTGGAAATGAACGAATCAATAGATTCTGATATCATATCAATCAAAATTCTAGTCGAGATAACCAGACGTCCAATTATGATGACCGAAGTTCTGATTTATATGATCAGAGTCTACTGGCTCATTTTCAATCAAAAATTTTTCTCAGTGTACTTTTTCAAATATTTAGTATTACATAATACTAGTAAGTATTATTAAACATAATAATATAATCCGCGATCATTTAATAACAATTACTATATTCAGAAAAGTTAAATTATTTCTTATTACATTAAGAAGTTTTATTCCACTCTGAAACTTTAAAAAAAAATCGAAAACATTTTTTTTGCTTAAATCGATAGTTTAGGATCTTAAGAATATAAAATTTTTTATCCGAAATTGAAATTTCCAATGTTAACGAAAATACAGTTGATTATATCGAGCAATGCACAGCAATGCTGTACCTCTGCGCTGCCGTTAAATTGTTCCATTTATGAATATTTTCATTATTTGACGTTATACATAGTTACATATCTGTACTATAGATGACATTAACACACAATTTTAATACAGATTATATCGGGTTCGGTCAGAAATCAGTGCTTAAAATACGACGAAAAGGGATTGTTATTGAAACTTTAACCACGTTTTTCTCAGAATGGTGTTTAAAAAACGATGGACACTAGAACTATCACAAAATTAATCCAAATGCTTTGAAATTTGATTCAGTTATTGTCAATTAAATTATCTGAATTATAAAGAAATACCTGTGATTTTTGCAATAATTTGTAATACTTATTTGTTATCGACATTTTTATGTCGAATTATGTGAAAATTGAACATTCTTTTCACGCGTGCATCATTTTCACATTTTTCAATATTTTTTAAATTCTGTCAGATATTTTTCTTAGCAAATTTAATAGATTAAAAATAATGTTTTAATTGTTGGCTACAGCGTATCTTGAACCTGTTCTGCTGTCGCGGATGCCTTCATCACATGCAGGCTTCCAAAAAACGTGCTGCAGCGCCATCATTTTGTTTTTTAAAATTATAATTTTTATACATTTTGTACATCAAAATACAAGTAACAAATAGATGAAGATTTTTTTGTATCATGTATAATTTTTTAATAATCACCTCTCAAAGTATAATCTCAAGGTATAATTTTTGAGGCCTCTAGGTTGGAATAGTCCCTTAACCAAATATTTGATTGAAATTATTTCACTTTACTTATTTTCATTTTCAATAGCTATTATCAAACTTTTTCCGGATGAATTATAAAGATCGACATTGAGAGAATTCTTTCTTTACGTCACTTCCTAAATAAGTCTCGAGTTATCATGCTTTTTTGTCTGACATAAATTGCATGTAGATTTTATAAACATATTTCTCGATTGCTTTATCTAACTTTGAACAAAATGCAATGCGATTGTCTTCGAATTTTTTAAAGAAAAATCGGTCGCAACGAGACATATTAAAATCATCCCCCTCGGATGATCAATTCGCGAAGGTCGCTAAAGCCGCTTACCTTGAAACCCTCGTCAACGGGAATGAAGAAAGTAAAACGACCTTCAGCCTTGTAGATAGATTCCTTCTTCTCGATGACGATCTGCTGTCGGAAGGTACTAGAAAGAAAAAGAAGGGTTAATTACGAAGGTAGTGTACGAGACACGGCGACGTTAATAAGACAAACGAGAAAAGTTCGTGCATTTATTTACGTTTAAATGCGCCAAGTTTTTATATTTATATTTAAATTAGAAAGACTGTGTTTTAATTGGTGGATCGGCATAATAATACTTTAAAATTGTCCATGGAACCGTTCGAGAGAATGAAAACAATCAATATAAGATAATTAGATCGGTATGAGGCCATGCATATTTTATAATACATTGGCTTTGTTCAACAGAGATAACAATTTTGTAACTGTTGTGAAATTTTTTAATATGATTAGTTTATTCAGATTTAGTGAGAAACTAGGAAAAGACTTAAAATCATATTAAAGAATTTTACAACACGTACAACAGAATTGCTTTATCTGTACACAACTGCCGTCATCGACGTATAGAATTAAATTAATTTATAAAATGTAGCTTAATCACATCGTGATAACCAAACGCGCGTCTGTTGTAGAATGAGAAGTACTTTTTAAAGCGATTTCCTTATAGAGAAGAATTCTCTGAAATTCTCAAAAATTGAAGGATTTAGCAATAACTATCTAAATATCTAAGAATACCGTTTAAAACAAGAATATCGTTTAAAAAGTAACATTTCAAGAGGGCGATATACGCGTAAAAGCAGATTATCGTTCCAAGATTCGAGGGCGTGAAAAGCTCTCTTTTCTTCTTTCTCTGAGCGCAATAAATGTCCTCGTTATTCTTTTATATCTGCCGCCAGACACTCTTACTATCGAAAACGATCGCCGTGTAAATAGCGAGTCTCTCGAACTCCGGCATTGATTTACTGAACAGTCTACTTACCGTACGCGATGGTCGCCCAAATTGAGATTCTCGCTCTGGTTCAGAAATTGGAAAGCGTTTGGGTTGTAGACTGGTGATTCCATCGAGTTGGATCGCACAGGCTCCAGCACTTCGTTTATGATGTGCAAGACCTGAAGCCAAAGAAAGGTTTCAGTGTTATTAAAGAATGATAATTTCGAATTATCAGTTCGAAATTGATATTAAAATAATTTATAGCCATATATATCAGGCAGAAATAATGATAAAGAAATTCATATTGAAAGAAATGAAAACGGAGAGGGATTGCGAGGTGGTATCATAAGACCGTCTTTAGTAAAGATTTTCTGGAGAAAATTACGTAATTGGCAAGTGTAGGAATGTTGAACCAAGCAACTCCGGGATTAAGGTTTAGAGCCCTAATTCTGACTTGCAAGGACCAAGTTAATCTCGCCAAGTTCGAACGGATCCGGTTGCGGCGGAGAAGATGAAGTGAGACAAACCGACGTCAAGCTCGTGACGCGAACTTGGCGGGAACGTGGAACACGAAGAGAGACACGAAGATAAACCTCGCAAGTCTGAAGTGGAGGAAGCGGAAGCTGCGAATAAACGCGGAGCTAAAGAGAGAGAGAGAGAGAGAGAGAGAGAGAGAGAGAGAGAGAGAGACTGTGAGGTGCACGTCGCAAGTATTTATCCTGTGGCGACGAATGTCGGCTATATCGGATCTGTCAGAAGCAACTGACGCTGCGCTTTAATAGCAAACATGAAGGAGAGAAAAACATATTTATTCACGTGTGTCTAGATAATACGCTATGAAATTCTCTTCGATAAAAGACAGGTTTCTTTTTAAAAGTAATATTTCGAAATAACGTTTCTTCAGTTTTACTTGACACAGTAAATTCGATTGTATCCATATTGTAAATTTTAAATCCTCTGGAGTTGACGTGGATTTATTGGACTTACTTAATTAAATCTCTTTGTTAGAAATATCAAACGATCAGTATCAGGGCGCTCCTCGCCCTAATGAAATAAACGGTAAGATTTATGAAACGGCAAATAATCCGCAAACCCTTTTACACCTCTACAGAAAAAACTCGTGAAAGCCTCTAAAGTATTGTCAAATAATTAAATTTTCTTCATGTTACACACCTGTAAAAATTTGAATTATTCTTATTCTAAAATATACGTAATATTCATCCGTTTATATACGAGTTATATCACTTCGGTTTATTAAAATTAATTAATGCCTTATAATTAGTTCTTTTAATTTAATTTACTAGAACTATTTTTAATTTTATTCGTAAACTCTAGAACTCTTCGAAGTGTATTCAGAACTGTAAGAAAGTTATTTTTTTATTCTAGACGAGTTGCTAACTTTACAGAGATTTTTAACTAGCATAAATTAAACAGAAATCTTACAGACTCAGCATCAGTAACTGTTACAGATTTTGACAGCTTCGGAGAGTTAAGTATAGAAAATATATTATACGAGATCTGCTGCCGAAGAAAGAATAGATAATGCAATATCTAGGTTTCTTTTACAGACTCCTTTTCTCTCTCTTTGTCTATTACGTACATGCTATTTCACGAAAAAGTCACTGGAAAGTGATAAGATGTAGAAACTGTTACCCCTTTCGCGCGTCCCCATCGGGAACAAGCACCATCATTTACCATCCTGAAAAGGAAAAAGTTCACGACTAAAACGTTGCCGCTGCTATTTATTCGCTCTCACCCGCGATCGTCCTGACTCCCTTATCTCGTGAGGGATATCCTGTTCCTATAGCTGTTTGCTCGGCTGTTTGGCTTGCTCTGTCAGGAAAGAAAAGAGGAACGGAAGAGGAATAAGGGTGTTCAGAAAACATAAGCGTCGAAGTTGCAATGCCCTGAGAGATTTCGCCTGTATATATATATATATATATATATATATATATATATATATACACACACACACATAATATTGAGATATAGTTTCCCAGCGCTCTGTTATTGGATAGAAACATCCCCTTACTAAAATTTTATTTAATATCTGTAAACTTAATTTTTTCCCTGTCGGTTTGCTACAACATATATCTTAAATAATATAATTAAATTCAAGGCACAACCCAAGAGAAAAGGGACGGGGGAAGAGAGAAGAAGAGAGGGAAGTGAAGAAACTAATTGAAACGCTGAGAAACTGTATTAATAAGCGACGATGATAATGGAACTAAGTTAACATAATAATTCATCAGAAACTGTTTTCTCTGTACTACTTCCGTACTGTTGAATTATTACAGCGATCATTCGATATATGGTATCACAGACAAATTGTATTTTGGAATTATCTTTGGAAAGTATCTTCTATATAAAATTCCATATTTAAAATGTTTGAAGATTTAAAAAAACACGCAGATTTGATAGGAGCGTTCACGGAGTAGATAATTAAATATCCGCACGATCCATCGTGGCTGTGCGCCGACAGTTTTAATACGAAACATCCATCACAGTGTCTAAAGATGAAGAGGAGGGGGGAAGGGGAGGGGAAGAAAAGAAGAGCCGTACACGGTCGTACGGAAAGTAGGCGCCTATGAGCTCTCTGTGGGGAAGGGGTGGAAAGGGAGGAAAGGGAGGGGGGGGAGAGAAAGTGCGGGTAACGTGGAAGATCGTATGATAAGAGGAGCAAAAGGAAGACAACGAAGGAGCGTGTCCCATTTATCCAGCGTAGTCGCAGAAAAAGACAACGACGGCGACGGGGGAGGTGGAGTATGGCGGTTGGCTAGAAATGAATCGTTTTACTCACCGAGAATGAGAGAGGAAAGCGAAGTTTGTGTGTTCCTTACGGGATAAGACGGGCCAAGCTAGGACGCCCATTTATCTTGCTCGCGGTCGCGAGTCGTCGGGGGAGAAGAGAGTAGGAAGAGATCGAACGTTCGCCAGCGCAGGACGAATCCTTAATTTTTCGCGCGGTTATCTACTCTACAGCGTCTGATTTTTTCGCGTAACAGCTGAACGTCAGGAAGACATTAGAAGTCGCAGGGTACATGAGCTCCTTTAAACTTTAACTGAAACCCGAGAAATCATCAGTCTAACTAAAAAATATGGGTGCGGATTTCATCTAGGTAAATATGATTCTTACCGTGTTGATGTAAACATCAACATAAGATGATTTCACATCAGAAGTTTGAAAATATGTGTGGAAAGGTTTTGTTGAAATATCTAAAAATCTAGATACAGATCTAAAAATAATGTTGGATCATCAAAATAATTACGTAGGATGCTCAAATTGATTGGTTGCTAGTAGTGTGTCCGGTGGATACACTTAATATTCGAATAAATGAATAACAAATAAATGAAAATACATTTCATTCGAATACACTTCTTTCTTATTCGTCAAGAAACGAACGAATAAATACTTTTTCATTCCATTTGAATGAATATTTTTTTTAATATGATTACGAATATTTTCGTTTCGTATTCACTTTTACTACTTAGCTTACAAGCCCGCAAGAGAAAACAGAAATCTATAAAAACAATGGCTACGATTACACCTATAGGTTAAACAAAGATATTTTTATTGGAAATAAATAATATATATCTCGGAATTTAATGTCCACAGACCATTATGACGCGCCCAAGATATCTTATAACATGTTTATGACATTACTGTGACGTAATCGGAATTATATCGGAATATGTATGGCGTTCTATCAAAGATATTTATAAATTAGATATTTTATATTTATTAAATTAGATATTTATAAATTAAAAGTGTATTACTTTCTAAAATAGTTTCCAAAATTTCTAAGTATCCTTCATAAAATTTGAATATTACAATGACAAAAATAAATAGAATTAATTGTTTTTTATTTAAAGTCATCAAAGTGCCGGTTATAGTTAAAGGTAACGATTGTTTATTGGAGCTTTTTTCAGTTTATATTTTGTTTGAATAAATATGAATACTCGTTAAATATTCATAGTTGTTTTGTAAATAAATATTTTAAAAAAACCCAAATTTTGAATATATGATTACACTTTTTTTTATGTAAAAATTTTGAATAAATACAATTTGGAATTCAATTACAATTTTTTGTATTCATTAGGCACACCAGTTGTTGAAATGTCAAAACTTTATGAAGTTTCGCTTATATCATGCTTTGAGATTTCTAAATAACAATTATTTTAATGGCCCAACAAAATTATTTTCATATCTAAATTTTTAGATACTTCAGCAAAATCGTTCCTTCTGAACCGAAATTGTACGTAAATACGATAAAAAGTTCATTGAATTAATGAAAATTGGCCCAATAAATTTTTATAATGACACTTAGGTTATAAAACTATTACCAGAAATACTTGAATGACTAGAAATTTTTAGAAATACTAGAAATACTAGAAAACTGTATAAATAAATCCAGTTATTGTGTATCAATAAATTAACCACAAATCGGACATTAAGTCAGACATTGATTAAAGATCAATCATTGGACCAAAAATGACCGAAATTTTTTTCAATGCTCCATGTAATATTGAATTTACACCCATGGTGTTAAATCCACATCATATTGACAAGAATATAAAACATCGTACGATATTAAATCCACACCTGTATTTTTTTCAGAATGTAAGATTACTTAGAATGCTGCGATCGCAACAGGATACTGTATCGATTCCCACTAAGTTCCTGTTCGATCATATTAATTTCGCCCGTGCTTCTTTGTTAATGTCTAATTTCGCGCGAGTGGGAAGTACGCCGACCCACCAGTCGGCCTACCGCGGAGGTATCGTAAAGTTAACGCTAATTAAACTTTCCCGATAGTTGCGCCGAGCCACTCGCGACCTCTCTCCGAAGCGAGCTCCTTCTTAATCAGCCCGGCTACCCATATTCGCGGTTGAGGATAGTACACGCGGGTACGAGTTATCATCTCGATACACAGCAGCCTGCGCTCGTTTATTTCTCCTGGGCGCCCCACCGCGAGATAATCACGATCTGTGCACATGTTAACGATGAATTATCGTATGCAATTACTTTTACGATAAACTCGCGTGGATATGGTTTTCGAAACGGAGATTAAAATCGATTTGATCCCGATGTATATCACGGAAAAATTATTGCCGGGATTTATCAGAGAGTACGTTATATCGATGCGTTATATCATGGTTTCATTATGTTTCTATTACA